GGTTTTGGTGGTAATGCACATCCACCAGACAAGGGTTTTGGTGGTATTCCACACCCACCAGATGGAGGTTTAGGCGTTGACCCAGATCCACTAGATGGGAGTTTCGACGTTGAACCACAACCGCCAGATGATGGTTTCGGTGGTGATCCACTTCCACCAGACGGGGGTTTCGGTGGTGACCCACATTCAGCAAACGGGGGTTTCAGCGTTGAATCACAACCACTAGATGGAGGCTTCGTAAGTAATCCAAGGCCACCCTTCGAGGGTCTTAGCTTTGAGTCGCAGCCCTCAAATGGAAATTTCGCTATTAACTCACAACCACTTAATGAGTCCGATGACCAAGGAATCTTAAATCCAATGTTCTTTAAGTGACTCATTGAACCACACTCAAATACATTTTTAATTTGTGTACTCTTCGCCCGGACGGCATTAGCACCCACGCCTGATGATTGTTGTAAAGCGAAACGCGATGCAATGACAATTGACCCGATCAGATTTCTTGCAGATTTCATTATTATGTTTTATGTTCTCGTTTGGATGGCGAGTTAGTTAGGTATCTCCTTTGTGAGGAGGGAAAATCTAATTAAGCTGTGATTTTTGGCAATTATTCGTTGTTGATGTATAAAATATGATTGATATGGGATAAGGTAAAAATTTATAATAATATAATATTATATTATATATCGATGTTTGCGTTATTTTTTTAGATACCGTATAGTTTTATATTCAGCCAACTACCTATGTCCAGTTTTTTAAGTATATTAAAACGGTATAAAATACATTTTTATAATATAGTCATTTAAGATTTAATATGAAAAGTATTGTTGAATGATTAAAAATACACCATTAGAAAATAGAAACTGTTATATTATATTTTTCTAATTATAGATACTTGTTTATCAAAACTATGTAATTATATGATTTATAGTTTGTAYATCGATCGATGTACTTATATCTTATAAATTATAATTTATAATACTAAAGCTAAAAAAATACTCTACTCCATGCTGCATCTGTGCAAGGGGTCTAGGTATAATGGTATTAACTTGATTAATTGCTTTAATTTGTACGCACATTGCAATGGGCTTACCTYCTCCCAAAAATATACTTAACTTCGTGAGCTAAAAAAATAACTTTGTTGATGTTTCAAGAGGACTTGAATTGTTTCCACAGTATAATTTAATACACTAAAATAAATAAGTATAAATACAATTATTTATGAATTATGACTCATTAATTGTTTATGTTGTTTCTTGTTATTGTAATTATTGTTAATAAAATAACTGTAAGAAATTTATGTCCTAAACTGTATAGCCAATGAAAAACAATATACCTATTTATTTTATGTTTTTCTGTGTTACTTTGCTCGCATATGCTTATTGTGCCTAAATTGTACAGATTGCATAWTATTATATTACATAATAATAATAATAATAATAAAATGTTTTTCTAATTATTTAGACATTTTAAAAATTTATTTCAAAAATAGAATATGCTGGCTAAATTATATTTATAAGACGACATATATACATAATTGTATCCTCATAATATAGCGTGTTTAATACGTTTTTTTTATAAAATAAATTAGTTATATATAATTTTGTGACAACTGGTGCCATATTCCATAACGTATTTTGTTATATTATATTTTTGAACAATAATTAATCATATTTAATTTATTTGAATACTATGATATAATAGTCTAATTAAAAATGGATATCAGCACGCACATAAACAAAAATTGAATTTAATTTAATTATTATTTTTTTATTATTATTATTTTTTTTTTTTACGTAAATGATATGCCTACTTACCTCTGTCCTCTGATATAATGTATTGTTATTGTTTTGGTATGTTTTTAAATATGTAAATTTAAATGTTCATATTGGGTTAAATGTTAAATACTCAAATGTATATAATATATTCATATATCATATACATGTAATATTAGGAAGTTATTTAGTTTATAGGAATCAAGGAATGGCCGTAGTATAAATTAATATAGATGTTATGTACCTACGTCCTACATGGCTACATTTTATACTATGAAACATTTATCTGTCGAGTTCTTTGTAAAGGCTGGATATTACGTAGTACCTACTTCTATTCACATTTTTTAATTACAGTGAAATTATAATAAAACATAATAAATACTCGAGGTAACTACCAAAACTATATATGTATACCTACCTAGCTATCTCTATATTTCAGGTAAGTTAAGTTAGCGTAGGTAGTAGGCACTTGTTAAGTACCTATGGTACGAGTATCTATCAATAATGAGTAATGACTATAATATTACATGATTCATCAATATAATGTTAATCAACAGGCGGGCTAGGTTTATTAAGTTGTGTGAACGCAGTTTACTGACAAAATATAGAAATATTAATGTTAAACAATTATATTATTCCAGGCCAGCGATCCATTTATTGAATAAAACGACTAAAATTTATATCCATGCACAATTTTTAATGTAATTGACAAATAGTAATGCTACCAATAGGAGATTGATAAGTATAGGTTCAATGTTTACCAGAAKATTTGTATACTATTCTAGATGAGTATATGATTTATTAATTATTTAAAAGAATGTTTAAATTATGAAAATTAATTTAATAATTAAGCTATACAAAATAGATAAAAATAAATTTATGCTTAAAAATAATATTTCCAAGACAGTTTTACTATTTATTTTATCATATTTGAACTGCCTATGTAGGTACCATGTTAGAGGATAACTGTAACAAGTATTTTTTAATTTAAATTTGTAGAAGACAATGTAGAAATGTTTTATTCTAAACAACTTCTACCAAATTGTATTGGATTTCTGTTTAAATAAATATTCGTAAATATTTACAGAGACGTTTGGTATTTTTTGAAAATAAATTAAAATTAGTAGMATAAATTGGGTGTTGTATAGCATACAAAAAATACGATTAAATTGACTATTTAAATGAAATTTGTAAATTATAACTCATAAATAATAAAATGTTATTTATGCATTCATATTATAATACGTTTGAAATCGAAATTCACTCATCTAAATATTCTGTAGGTACCTACCTATTTAACTGTAATGTGGTTACATATAATCACTGCAGAATATAAAGTTCCTAAAAAAGTTCTTTGGTAGATATAAAATTATTTTATAATGTTTCGACTGGTTCATTTACTGTTAATTTTAATAACTTTGAATAATATTAATTAACTATTAGAAAATAATTAAATTATCACGAAATGGTGTGAATAATGTAAACACGGCTGTCAATCAACAGTGATATTTGATAACAAACTCTGACAAAGTGCAGTTAGACATGGTTTGATTTTAGATTGGAAAKACTACATGGCGTATAGTAGTGCATGCACATTTTGTTCCGTCTTAGCAATGTTGCTGAAATTGGTTTATGTTTGTGTTGGTTACAAAGGACACAGTATTTTGTAAGTTACAAAAAATAAAAGTATCATACTCCGCTTTGAMAGCAATACTATTATAATGTAAAACATTAAAATGAATTAATAAATACATTTTGCCGTGAAAAAATAATTCATATACGTAGATAGGTAGTATAACTATACTTACATACGAATAATCATAAACGGTCAAATTCATAAAACATTACTCATATCGGCGTATCGCTACATTTTATTTTTTATAAATGTCAATTGAACTTTTTTACGTCATTTATTAATGTTTCAAACATTAAATAGATCTTTAATATCTGATATCATCATACAAATATAGAAAAAACATATAAAGAATATCGAGAATACTTACAATAAGTATTATTTTATAGACATATTATGTTTTATTTTGTAAAGAGAAAACATTTTGTAAAATCCATATTATTAAAATCTAAATATATTGGACAAAAATTAATAATAATGTCTATAAAGACTTGAGTAATTAAAATCACTTTTTAAGCCATACGTATAATATAAATATTTCAAAATAATTATGAAAATCAAAAAATTACAAGTCTGAAAAAGTTTTTTTTCGGTTTAATTTAATGTACCATCATTGATGTGCTGTCTTTAAATCTATAACAATATACATATTTTATATTATTTATTTTTTGACACTAAACTCTAGTATAAAGAAACATTATATCAATTTTTTAATATTAATTTGTATCCTTACAAATCTATAGGAAGTCCTGTACTATATATAGTCCTCCTCTACTCAGCGTTTTCTATTAAATCAAACTATTTAGAGTGAAGTATTAGGTACTACATCTATTATCTTTATAATATAGTGCACAGGACGTAGGTATTATAATCGTCATCGTCGTAAAATGTTTATCGCTCTCTATGCTTTTTTAGTATCGGTTTAAAATTTAAATGCATTGGGTATAACTACCTCAACGCAAGTATTGTCATCAAAGAAAAAAAAAWTTATAATAATAACGATTGTTTGAAATGCGATTGCAGATAGCTCATTGATTCAGCAAATCAGCAATATAGGTAGGTACTAAAATTTGAACATCTTACGAGGGTTGTTTATTCCTCATAACGAGGTGTTATTGATGATCGCATCAACCCTATAGACAGGTGTAAATGGCACATAAATGGTAAATATAGGCTGGCCTGATCACCTGACCTAAACATAGGACTCGTCGCCACTGGTTCGTGCCCCGTGTTGCTAGCTCCGTAAATTAATGGAGCGTGTTTTAGGTAATGCCCCTTCGAATTGCTTCCACATAGATTTACAAGACTAAATCCTCAGAAGTAAAATATGTATGTATCACACWTGCACCTATATAGTATAAACTTATTGTGTAGTAATCTACACWCTTCCTAAATATCTGCAATAACTTAATATGGTTTTTACCTAGGTATATTTTCCGTTTTAGGTATAATAATTCTCACATAACACATAATATTAGTTATTACATCAACAACGCGTTAAGTCACTTAAGTGATTTTCAATAAACAATGATAAACCGGTGTATGGCGTTATTGTAAGTAGGTATTTTGAAACCATTATGTTGTACACAATCCGGTTTACTGAATAACCATAAAAACAACCTAGAGGTTCAACAAGCCTCCGTGGCGCAATTGGCTAGCGCGTTCGGCTGTTAACCGAAAGGTTGGTGGTTCGAGCCCACCCGGGGGCGAAAATTTTTTTGTTTTTTTTCTTCAAGTGTTGACCGTTTGTTTTAGTTATTTTTAATCACCACAAAGTAAACATAACTCAAATAGTGTAAAATGTTAGCATTATTTTTCCTCATGCGTTTTTTTCACGATTCTTTTCACGAAAACAATAATATAATTTATTACAATTAGGTGCATGCGGTGGCTTACCATGTCACGCGTGCTACATAAGACTATAAGAGATTGGGTGTTGAACGCGGTGGCGGAATTACGATGATGCAARTGTTACATTTAAAACACCAAATAATTTTCAAGTGTTGCAAAAGTATTGTTTCGGAACACTAAAAATATTAAAGTTTTAAGTTTAAAGTCCGATCCTCTTTCCCGTTCACCGTATTTTATACTTTATTCTTAATCTTTA